TACATATATTCCATACAACTAAAGTGTGCCATTACTGTGATATTCAAATGGCCGCTGATGTCTCCCATACACTGTGACCACACATACAGTACATTGTCAGTCTGAAAGGTTTACTGCTTCCATTTTCTCCTACTCTGGTCTGACGTTACTACGGTGACAGCCACCATCCACCGCAACCACTGCCTGATTGCGAAGGGTTTTGTGGGCATGTAAAAGCGAATGGTTTTTCTTGTGTCTGTTGTGTCGACGTAGATCTAATGGTGATTTGTCATACGTTTGGTGCCCACCCAGCGTATTGAGTGGTGGAATATGAAAATGTGCTTTGAGGAAGAGTAGAATAATTGATTGGTTCATTTGATTTCCACCGTTCAATCCGATCAAAGGTCCCCATGGGAGCCAGAGCCGTCCAGCGGTTTGTTTGTTTGTTTGTTTGTGTGTGTCTCAGCTACTGGAGTAATTGATCAAAAATGCCCAAAGACAGTTGCGTAACGCGCTAAACCAAACTTCGCAAGTGGATCTTTGACATAAAATGTAGCTTTACAGAAAAAAGAATTTACAGGGTGAGTCTTTGTAACCGACACAGGCTACCACCGGAGGCGCCATTGGGGGTATGTGGTTCCTCTGGGAATCAAACCCACGTTCCGGTCATTACTTGTGTGCATGCGTTCACTATGAAATTACTATTGAAGACTTGTTGTTTGTGAGCTTACTACATTCATCACAGTAATCCTAACGGTACTCATTTAAAAAGAATGAATAAAAACAAATGTACTGTGCACTTTGCACTTTGCGTAGGTGTAGGAGAAAGAAGAAATGTTTGGAACAGAACTCGGGCTCTCTGACTGTTTTGTGAGACCACATTTACTGCACTATTATTTTTCAAAAATTTCTCTATCTCACGAGGACATTAAAGCTTCTTGTTATGTTCAGACCCACTTGGTGAATTCTCAGGGTTAGGATTCTCAATTTATTCTCAAGACATTTGGTCAACACAAAGCACATCCAGCAAAGAATAATGAAGCCATTGTGAATGTCTTTCAAAAATTTACCTTAGGAGAAGGACATCACCAACTCATAGTCCGGAGCTGGTTGAAGACATTGATTCAAAATCTGTTTAAAAAAAAAAATTAAACCACTGAAAGCATTCCTTTTCTTGGAGTTTTTTGTAAAATTTAAACTGTCGGACCAATCCTCAATAATCCCTCTCAGTTGTTTCTTCTGGTATGAGGGCAAATCAAAAATGTTTCAGAAGTGCGCTGTCATTTTAAAGATGGCTGATTTCTTTTCCCAAACCAGAAAATTAAAGATGGCTGATTTCTTTTCCCAAAACAGAAAAAACAACATCTTAAAGGAACCTTAATTTCTTTGAGGGTTGTCTTAAATGTAAGATATATATATTTTTTATTTTTTATTCATCTTGGTTGGTTGACACCCATTATTAAATTTTGAAATTTTATTCATCACTTAAGTGCTTGTGGGTTAGTTAAAGCAAATTTTTATGGACTAAGTTTCGGAATATTGTGTAGGCTAACACACTCCTCAAATTATTAATTCATTTTTTGCTTAAATTTCCTTATCCTTTCCTTTATTTTGCATGTAGCTCGCTGGCTGTCTTTGCCAACATTTGTCAATCTCTGTTGCTTCAGTAAACTTGAAATGTTCCTTAGGTCGTTTGTGGCAAAAACTACGTAAGACTTTGTTTGTGCTACGGATGTAAACTCGCTCCGTTTTCATTTCCTCTGCTTGTGAGGTATTTCCGTCCTAGCACACATTCAGGAGAAAATCTTGCCCCAAACACCTGCTGATTTTGGATCCTGCTCTAACGTTTCCCATCTTTTCATACTCACTCTGGAGCTCTATCACAAACAGGCCTCCACTCTTATCCACTGCCATGGTCCGCCGATGCCAGTGCCACTGATATTTGGGATTGAAAGTGAGCCCTTTGCACTGTGTTGTCACTCTCGGGTTGGTTAACTGTGGGGCCCACTTCAGAGACTGACTGGAGATAACCCAACTTTAAAAAAAAAAAGGGGGAACTTTTGTTGAGTTTGCGAGCGAGCGAACATTCCGTACAGGGACGCTCCCAGATAGCACTTGTTTATATGGGTCTGACGATCTGACATCCTTTCCGCTGACACGGACAACTCCTCGGCCGCACGTGTCAAAGGCCGAGAGAAGACAGCCCCGGAAAAAAGGAAGTTTCACCGTCACAACAAAAAAGGCTGAAGTTCAATTCATCTCCGAGAGACAGGAGGCGCTCTGAACCTCCCATCTGAAATGATCGGCCTCGTAATTTACGAGCTGCCTGTGTCACAAAGACGTAGCTCTCTAATCAAGTTACCGTGGCAGGTGTATTTATGAAAAGCTGTGTTTCAGATAAATGAAGCAGCAGCAGAGGGGGAACTTTGACTTTTACATTAGATTCCCAGGAGATCATTTTTCAGATTTTGTTTAGCCCCAGTGAGACAGATAATTACAGGTCCTCGTGATCACAACACGAGCATGCATCAAACCCTGACAACAGCAGAAGGAGGCCCTTTTATTAATAGGACCGTGGTTCTACTAATTGGAAGGCAAATATTTTTTCATTACATTTAATTATGACCTATTTAAGGTACCTAGGGATGTAAGTAATTAGAAAAAAAAACCCATTATATTAAAAGTAAATTATTTTGTTATGGTGACACAGCACACCACGAAATGTGACCTCAGCTTTTAACCCTTCAGCAGTGCTCAGTGGACCTCAGTGGTAACTTGGCAGCTGGCGGACTTGAACCTGAAACTTTCCGAACCCTATCAATCTGTCTTTCTATCTATCTACCTACCTACCCATTCTTTCATCCATCCATCCATCCATCCATCCATCTATCCATCCATCCATCCATCCATCTATCCATCCATCCATCCATCCATCTATCCATCCATCCATCCATCCATCTATC